CAGGTAAAATAGGCAAACCAATAAAGCTTTAAGAAAATGGAAACTACCTTCATGACCTTGAGGTAAGAAAAACTCTTTTCAGAATTAAAACTACTACCCATTAAAGGAATGTGCACATGTGAACATGTGAACTTGATTCACATATCAAACAGGATAGGAGCCAGCTTAAGGCTGGCTGGTTAAGGACAATATGAGCATCAAAACAAACAACAGTAATGGATTATAAACCACTGGGCAAAACAGGAATTCTTGAATTCACATTAATAATAGATTAAATAAACATATCTTCAAGAAAGTAGAGCCGCAAGGCATGGTGGCACATACCGGTAATCCCAGCAGCTCAGGAGGCTGAGGAGGAGGATCTTGAGTTCAAAGTCAGCCTCAGCAAAAGCAAGGCACTAAGCAACTCAAGTGAGACCCAGTCTCTAAATAAAATACAAAATAGGGTGGGGGATGTGGCTCAGTGGCTGAGTGCCCCTGAGTTCAATCCCTGGAGAGAGAGAGAGAGAGAGAGAGAGAGAGAGAGAGAGAGAGAGAGAGAGAAAGAGAGAGAGAAAGAAAGAGAGAGAGAGAAAGAGAAAGAGAGAGAGAAAGAGAGAAAGAGAAAGAGAAAGAGAGAGAGAGAAAGAAAGAAAGAGAGAGAGAGAGAGAGAGAGAGAGAGAGAGAGAGAGAGAGAAAGGGAAAGGAAGGAAGGAAGGAAGGAGAAAAGAAATTGGGGTTCTTCCTTAGAGTAAAACGCCAATTGAGGGCTGGGGCTGGGGCTCCACGGTAGAGCACTTGCCTAGCATGAGTGAGGCACTGGGTTCAATCCTCAGCATCACATAAAAATAAATAAATAAAATAAAGGTATCATGTCCATCTACAACTGTAAAAATATATTTTAAAAATAATAAAAATTTTAAAAACTTTTTAAAATGCCACTTAATAGGAAGCAAATCATGGAGCTAGATAACCATTTTATTAAACATTATAAAGTATGGATTAGTTTAGAAAATAAACCAATCAAGGAGAAAAAGTGAGATGCAGAGTAGAATATTCTCAAGTTCTCAAAGCATCTCTCCAAAAAGCACCATTAAGTTACAAAGAGAAAACCAGGAACTCCATGGGGAGAAAGAGACCACACCCTGAGCTGGCTATCAAAGTGGCATCACTCATAGCGGAATATGGGCATCTCTCGACTCTAGATAGAATAATCTAAGATGATACAGCAAGCCTTACGTAACAGACAAACTCAGATACCAAACTCAACTCTAATCCCCAGGAAACATCAGATAAGCCCATTCTGGAGAACAGAATAATTTATCTTGTATCCTTCCAAACTGTCAATATCATGATGAAAAGTCCAAGGAATTGTTTCAGCTTAAAGGAGACCAACAAGAAATGACACCTTGGGATATGGGATCCCAAGGTAGGCCATGTGTTTGGCCACAACACAGGATTTAATCAATTTTGAGAGTGAAATCAATCACAATGGGATGCAACTAAAAACAGAAGGAAAACTAGAAAATTCATAACATGTAAAAAGCAAATAATTTTAAACCATCAATGAGTCAAAGAAGAAATCACAGGGAAATTTTAAAATATCGAGACAAATGAATATTAAAAACATCATACGAGGGACTGGGGCTGGGGCTCAGCAGGAGAGCACTTGCCTAGCATGTGCAAGGCTCTGGGTTCGATCCACTTAAAAATAAATAAATAAAATAAAGGTATTGTGTCCAACTACAACTAAGAAAATATTTTTTTAAAAATCATACAAAAACCCAGAACACAGTGAAAGCAACACCAAAAGAGAAACTTACAGCTCTAAGCACATTAAAAAAGAAGAAAGGTCTCAAAACAACCAACTTTACACCTTGAAGAACTGGGGTTAAAAAAAAAAAGAACTAGGGTGGGGGTTGTGGCTCAGGGGTACAGCACCTGCCTAGCGCGTGTGAGGCACTGGGTTCTATCTTCAGCACCACATAAAAATAAATAAATAAATATATAAATAAATAAAGACATGTGTCCACCTATAACTAAAAAACAAATACTAAAAAAAAAAAAAAAAAAGAACTAAACCTACAGCTAGCAGAAGATAAATAGAAAAACAGGAAAAGCTAACAAAACCAAGAATTAGTTCTTAGAAAAGGTCAATAAAATTAACAAACCTTCATCTAGATATTAAAATCATTACCCAAAGTCGTCTACAGATCCAAGGCAGTCCCTATCAAAATCCCAATGAAGTTTTTAAGTAGCAAGAGGAAAACCCAGCCTAAAATCAATATGGGACTTCATAGGATTACATACAGTCAAAACAATCTTGAAAACGAAGAATGAAGGTGGAGATCTCATGTCTTCATTTTAAAACTTACTACATGACCACCATAATTAAGACAGAACACATCAATGGGAGAGAGGGAGCCCAGAAATAAATCCTTGTGTGAATCAAATAACTGCCTCGATACAAAAACTGGTATTATCAGTGCCCCTAAATAGAACAAAAATATATCTTTCATCATATGCTAAATGTACAATATATTTAGACCCATTTCTCACTTCTGTTCCATCCCATGATCTGTCCACTCACTGCATGTTAATGAAGCCATTTTGGTTACTGCAGCTCTATAATGTACTATGGCACTGGCAAGCTAGCCCTCATTATACTTCTTCTGAAGTGTTTATTCTTACAGGATGTTTCTTTACCCCACATGAACTTCATAATTACCTTTCAGATTCTTTTTTAAAAAGATGTTGCATTTTGGGGCTGGGGCTGTAGCTCAGTGGAAGAGCGCTTGCCTAGCACACATGAGGCACTAGGTTCGATCCTCAGCACTACATAAAAATAAACAAATAAAATAAAGGCATTCTGTCCACTTTCAACTCCAAAAGAAAATTTTTTAAAAAATGTTGCATTTTTATTGCACTTTATTAAACAAATGAAATATTTAAGATATCAAATGATTAAGGTCTAACAATTAGTTGCAGGACAAGAATACAGTTAGGCCCTAAGTAATTCAGTGAGACCTTGTCTCTAAATAAAATTTAAAAAGGGCTGGGGATGTGGCTCAGTGGTTAAGTGCCCCTGGATTCACTCCCCAGTACCAAAAAAAAAAAAAAAAAAGGCAAAGAAGGGAAAGCAGTTTGGAAAGAACCCCAGCAGCTAAAGGGCTGAGCAGGATAATGTAAACTGTCAACAAAACCAAAAAAGTGGCCAGAGGTGACAGAAGATGTCACAGAGGCATCGTGGGAGGGCATGAGAAAACAATGCTGCTGAGAGATTGAGGGAGATGAGCAATAACTAGCATTCACAGTGACACAGAAGGCACTAATGACCTTAGAGGACAGTTTAGTGGATTGGGAGGACAAGGCTAAATTGACATGAACAGGAAAAGAGAGTGGGCACAGGGGTGCACATCTGTCATCCCAGCAACTCAGGAGGTTGAGGCAGGAGAACAGGAAGTCCACGGCCAGCCTGGGCAACTCAAAGAGACCCTGTTTCATAATAAAATAAAAAAGGCTGGGGTGCAGCTCAGTGGTAGAGCATTTGCCAAGCATGTGCAAGTACCTGAGTTCAATCCCTAGCATTGCAAAAAAGAAAAAAAAAAAAAAAAGGGTGAGGGGAGGGAGAGAGAATTACCTATAGGGGACAGCTTTTGTTTTTAAAGACAAAAAAGACCTGCACTTGATTAAGTTCTGATAGGATACAGTAGCAAGGGAGAAAATGGAAGTAGTAAAGAGGGCTGGGGATGAGCCAAGTGGTAGAGCACTTGCCTAGCATGTGCAAGGCCCCAGGTTCAACCCCCAGTACTGCAAAACACAAAGTTCCCATATCCTTGCCACCCTTTAAAAGAATGTAATAAAGCAGCAGAGAGAAGGGTCAGCATGAGGCCACTGAACAGGCATGGAGAGCTGTGTTCCCCAACGTGCACAGGAAGGATGGCCTCCACCAGAGGAGCCACTCCTGCACCTCTCCTCTGTGCCTGGGGCAGGAAGGAGAAGTGCAGCAGCAGCAGTAGAGAAGTGACCTGCCTGGATTTAGTCAGCAATGTTCAGGAGATTCTGCTGTGCGCAGGAAGCAAGAGATCTGGTCATCTTAATTGGTTAAACCCACCCCTTTTGTTGAACATCTATGTGGCTTTCAGTCTGACATTAGGAACAGAACAGCTGGGTCAGAGGATAAGCACTTTAGAAACTTGAATTCCTACTGCTTTGAGAAAAGTGATTATTGTTACTTTGCATCCCCCAACCTTCCTGTCTTGGTATTTATTGCTCTTTTTGTTAATATTCTAAGAGAAAAAGGCTGATTTTAAAGTAACAGATTAGGCTAGGGTTGTAGCTCAGTAGTTGAGTACTTGCCTCGCATGTGTTAGGCACTGGGTTCAATCCTTAGCACCACATTAAAAAAATAAATAAAATAAAGAATTGTGTCCATCTACAACTAAAAAAAATTAAAAATAAATAAAGTAACAGATTAAGGGCATTTGCCCACATGTTAAGTAGAAGAAAGCATCATTTACAAATAATTTTAAATGTCATTCCATTAAAGTTATGAAATAAAAATATGCACCTCTCAAAATGAAGTCAGAGATCGATTTATTCAAAACCATTTCAAAAAATGAAATAAAATGGCAAATAGTTAAAGAAATAAATGTGGGACGACCAGAAACAATATCCTAAAAATATAGAAATGCCTCCCATGAGAACCTTTTGAATAGGAGTTAAGAGACTGTCTCCTGTCTGGGAAAAGGATAGATCCTTTAATTACCTAAAAACCATTTAAATTCAGACTAACAAATCAAATCACCCACCACTGAAGCACATGAGCACCTCCTGCTAGTGAACCCCATGAGCTACAGATTCCATGCCAAAACCTCTCCACTAAGACCTTATCATCACTCTGCTGAATGCCAATGAGAATGCAGCTAACAACCTAGATTTGGGTCAGGAATCATTTTTATTACAGATAAGGGGCTACAGGACTCTCAAAGGGCATCAGAAACAGGCTCTTCTTTCTTACCTTCACCATGAATGTGAAGTCTGTTAGGGCCGGGGAGTAGACGGCCCCACCAGCACATGGGCCCATGATCAGAGAAATCTGCGGGATGACTCCAGATGCCGTGACATTCCTCTGTCAAAAGAAAAAGGGAAAAGCATCTGGTTACAGAGGTGTGGAGGCCCTACCTGTGGGAAGATAAAGGAAACAGTAGCATTTGGCTTCACCTGCACAGAGAGGCTATGCAGAAGGTGAACAGGTGAGCAGGCTCAGTAAAGCTCTTCCAGAATTATGTACGCAATTTCCTCCCCTAACTTGTGGGAAAGTTGGTATGTTACTTTCTGGGGTGAAGATCTTCTCTCCTCTCTGCTCCCTGGCAGCTGTTCCCAAAAACCTCAGCAGGATATGAGCTACAGAGAATTGTGCCACACTAGTTCCAGCTCCAAACACACCTCATCCGCAGCACCCATGTCCACACACAGTTGGCTGGAAGAGGAAGGAAAACCTCAGTGACCAGAGCCAGCACTTATCCCAGACTCTGGCCTCTATTCTGAGGTTCTTCACACCCTCCACCCAGTGGGCACCCAGCAGTCACAAGATGAGGCTGAGAGGCAGGTACTACCTTCCACAGTCTGCCCCTCCCAGAGAGGGGATGTCAGGGAGGGGAGGTAGGAGGAGCCAGAAAGGTTCCCTAAGGATAAGGGTATATGATGGGTTAAGTTCAGCCCACCTCCTGGAAAAGACTGGATGTGGGGGCTTGAGGACCCAGGCTGGGCAACAGGGCCCAATCACATCTTGCCCTACTGCCAACCCCTTTCCCTCTCCTGAGCCCCATCAGCTTCGGAAAAGTGGGTCCACTCTTCAGCCTGCTGTGGCTCTGAGCAGAATGTCTGTAAACCATGAGAGTAGCTAATTTTGGCACAAAATGTCTCTATACTCTCTGCAAAACTGACAAGTTAGATAGGTGGTCTTCCAGCTACTGCACAGTTAAGAGTCTGAAAAATTCTCTCCTTAAAAAAAAACTAGAAAACTGGACAAAATTGTCAAAAAAAAAAAATATTAGCATTCAAGGTTCTGGAAACGAATCAAATATTAAATTGTGAAGTGTTCATTCACAAAAAACTGTTAAAGTTGAGATGAGAATGGTAAGAGTCTGAGGCATTCTTTTTTTTTTTTTAAGTTGTAGATAGACACAATGCCTTTATTTTATTTATTTATTTTTATGTGGTGCTGAGGATCAAACCCAGTGCCTCACATGTGACAGGCAAGTGCTCTGCCACTGAGCCACAACCCCAGCCCCTGACACATTCTTAACCAAGAATGCCACCAGTGCCCAGGCCAGCTCAGGGTTCCCTCAAGGTAAAAGTAATACCAGACAGTAATTCAAGTCCACAAGAAGTAATTAAAAGCACTGAAAAGGGGCTGGGGTTGTGGCTCAGTGGTAGAGCACTCGCCCAGCACGTACGAGACGCTGGGTTCAATCCTCAGCACCACATAAAAATAAATAAAATAAAGGTATTATGTCCAACTACAACTAAAAAAAATATTTTTTTTAAAAAAGCACTGAAAATGGCAAATTATGATTAAATACAAGTACTAAATGAATATAATTCTCAATACTTATATATAATGTAATAATTATAACACTATAATTTGTAATTATAACACTTTGTAATGTAATTATAACATAATTTATAATGAAATATATAATAATAATGGCACAAATGATGGGGAGAAAATAGTTATATTAAAGCAGAGTTTCCATCTTTTACCAGAATAAAGTCAGTATTAACTTGAAGTAGACAGATAATTTAAAATTTATATTGTAACCTTTAGAGCAACCACTAAAAAAAAACTCAAAAAATATAGCTTAAAAAAATAGCTCTACACACAGAACTGTGGGATATTTTTCATTTGAGACAGGGTCTTGCTGTGTCGCCTGGACTAATCAACAAACTGGTGGGTTCAAGAGATCCTCCCCTCACAACCTCCTGAGTAGCTGAGACTATATCCAGCTCAACCTAAGAGTTGAGTGACATCACGGTAGACAAAAGAGGAACTTCTAGGAATCTGGGACTGAAGCAACAACTCAGCTAACAGGGATTGTCTGAAGTAAATACTTTGGAACTTTGGAGTTTAGTTGAACACTTGCAGGATCCAAGGAAGAGTGTGATGAAGAAGCAGGTACATCTCAGTGAATTTCTGCATTTGGTATAACTGCTATCATTCCCAGCCCAAAACCATGAAGTAAAAGCAGGTAACTGTGAGGTTGGAAACCCATGTTCCTGAAGTGGCTAGCTGGGGCCAAGGTGGACAACAAGGACCTTGTCCTTCAAATATTAGGGTTGTATGTTTTTGGGGTTTTTCATTTTTGAGATGCAGGGGGTAGAACCCAAGAGCCTCACAAAAGCTAGGCAAGTACTCTACCACTAAGCCACATGTACAGCACAAGGATTGTGTATTTTGATTGCTGATCACTGCTTTTGATGGCTGAGGGGCAGCCTGGAGGCCAGTCATTATTTCAATTATCATGGATTCAAATGGCCACCCCAATACAAAGGAAAGAGATAGTTTGTACCAACCTGGTGTGCCTTCTGAGACGGACATTCAGGGACATCTTTATCTGATCACTGGTTGGCCACAGAGACAACTAAAAGTTCAGTGACCATATTCAACAAGGAAAAAAAGAATTTAACAGAAACCATCCCTGAGGAAACACAGACACTGGAGTTATTAGTCACAGATGCTAGAGTGACTATCTTAAATATGTTCAATGAGCTAAAGGAAACCAAGGAAAAAGAACTCAGGGAAGCAGGAAAACAATGTCCGAACAAAATAAGTATTAATGAAATAAAAAATTCACTAGAATTTTCAACAGCAGATCCAAGTGGCAGAAAAAAGGATCACAAGACTTCAAGGTTAAACTGTTGAAATAATCTAGTCTGGAGAAAAGGAAAAAAAGAAAAATGAATAGAGACATACCAACATATACATTTTAGGAATCACAAAAGAGAAACAATGAGTCCGATAAAATATTTGAAGAATAGCCAAAAACTTACCAAATTTGATGAAAGACATGAATATACGCATCTAAGAAGCTCAATGAACTCCAAGTAGGATGAACTCAAAGACATTTATACTGAGACGTATTATAGTCAAACTGTCAAACCCAAACACATTGAAAAAATTTTGAAATTAGAGAGATAGGAGCAACTGATCACACACAGGGGATCTTCAATAAGACTAACCATGTAGGCCAGAAGGCAGTAACACATACTTGAAGAAAAAACTGTTGGCTAAGAATTCTGTGTCCAGAAAAGCTAAACTTCAAGGATAAAAGACAAAATAAGACATGTCCAGAAAAACAAAAGCTGAGGGGGTTCATTTGCAGTTGACATGTCATACAAGAAATACTACAGGGAATTCTTTAGTCAGGAAATAAAAGAACACTACAGTAATGTGAAATCATGAGAGAAAAAACACAACAGTAAATACAACTTCCTAGGTAAATATAGAAGACAGTAGGGCTATATTTCAGTCTATAACATCTCTATTTTTCCTATATAATTTAAAAAACAATCATGAAACAATTATAAATCCGATAATGAATACATCATGCATAAAGATATAATCTAGATAATGACAACATAAGATGCAGATGTACAGAAGCAGTATGCTCCCAAACTACTGAAGCTGACCTGGTTTCATTCCAACTAGTTTAATTGTAATCACCAAGGTAACCATTAAGAGAAGGAAACATTAAATATAGAAATGAAAGAAGTGGGAGGGGGGATAGTAGAGGATAGGAAAGGTAGCAGAATACAACAGTTACTAATAGGGCATTATGTAAAAATGTGGATGTGTAACCGATGTGATTCTGCAATCTGTATTTGGGGTAAAAATGGGAGTTCATAACCCACTTGAATCTAATGTATGAAATATGATATGTCAAGAGCTTTGTAATGTTTTGAACAACCAATAAAAAAAAAAAAGAAATGAAAGAAGTGAATTTTAATGACACAACCAAACTAAACTTTTAAAAGCCACAATGGTGGAATTAAGGCATAAAAACTATCACATATACATAAAACAAACAGTTGAATGGCAGATGCAAATCCTTCTGTGTGGGTAATCACTTTAAATGTGAATGGATTAAACTCTCCTGTCAAAAAAAGAGATTGGCAGAGATCCAAGATGGCAAAATAGAGGAGGTTGCTTTCCTGGCTGCTCCTTGGTGTGAAACCAAGAAAGCAGACAGGCAGCTTCTCCACAAGGTGAGTGAACAAAAAAAAAAAAAGAAGGGACTTTACTGGAACCTAACACTGGACATTCAAAGCAGATCGGGGACACAGAAAAAAAAATCCCCAGCGGCATAGCCACTGCCACAGCCAGAGAAGTCCCTTTGTGAGCATAGTAGATGGATAAGGGAATTAAAGGAAGGAACCTGCATTTTGGGGAGGTCCGAGGTATATCTGGGTAGAGTGTTTAGAGACCACAGACATTGCCCAACAAAGCTGAACAACTCGCTGCACAATACCCATGTGGGGAGAAAGAAGCCACCATCTCTCCAGGCAGAATGCAGAGGACAAAGGAAAGAACCATTTTGCAGCTTCAGCTCAAGAGCAGGCAACAGGGAAAGCCAATTCCTGGCAAACCTGAGTTCGGTCCAAAACACAGGCCCAATAAACACATGCTACACAACAGAGTGTGCTTAAGTGACCAGGAGAAAATCAAACATGGAGAAAGGTTTACACAGGGGACAACAGGGAGGAAACCCACCCAGCTCTACCCCTCCCTTTCCAATCCCAAGGCTTGCAGGACACATCTGGCCTGGAACTCAGAAGGGTGGGGACGGGAGAGATTGTTTGGAGACGGGACCAAGAAACAGTGAGGTCTGCAATAAGTAGGGACTAAGAACTGGAGATTACTGGGGTAAAGTCTTCCAGCATGGACCAGTCAATACCACCACTGGAGGTGGACTGATTTAAAATCTCCAGACCAATTAGCATTCAGCAAAGAGCCTGGAGCCTTCCTAAAGCTAAACCCCACCTCGAGGAACTCCACCTACAGATTACCTCTCTCCGGCAATCCACAAATCACACTCCAGAATACCAACCTAACACTGCTGAAAAGAG